TTTCAATAGTCGGCCATCAGAAGACGAACCATTGCTTTTGTGGAGTTTTCGAAGAGTCTAATAAGAAGAAAAGATAAAAAAGATACTGGGTGCGTCCGATTAATTGTGATAGAGATGAGAAAGCAGAGTTCAGTGTTCTTTTTCCTGCATTCTTTGACGATGAAGAATGATCTTTTATTTACTTTCGAATGTCATTAAGTAGTTTTAATGAAATGTATGATTATATAAAAAAGGAAATAGAGAAATAAGTCACCAACTGTAAAAAGGCTGTATCTACAAAAGTAAGATTGGCTGTACTGAACCAATTAATTTTTCTATGGAAGCCATCTTGCGTTCTACGAGTTCTTTGTATTTCTGACAATAGAACGCAAGAACGTAAGCGTTCACACTGACTGGCGCCGTCTGACTGCCGCTGTGTCTGCTTGACTCTATAGAGATCTACTCGTATTAGTTACAAAGAACGTGGAACGCAGAACGCGGAACTCGGAACGCTTGAACGCTTTCTGTCTGCGCGAGCCCTTATGTGAATGGAGTGGGGCGTCAGTCGATTTGGCGCGCCGAAGTAGATGAGCTGCTGATAGTAGCAGAGGGGTGAAACTCATATGGGCGAATGGGAAACAAAGCAGTGTTGCTGGTGCACGATATGACAACCATGTCGCACTCTCAAAAAATGGCCGCTTATTCACAACTGACGTTGTCTGATTGGTCAGATTTAAATTTCTGGCGGGTTTCTTCCTATGCTTTGCATAAATAACCTTACCTTTTCAGCAAGCCATTTTCGTTTTGCGTAACAGAAGCATTTCATTCTAAATTGAATAAAGTGCCTATTATGTTATTTGAGACATATGCCTTTTGTTCAGAGTTGTGAAGTATAAAAATGTGAGTACTTAAAGCTGTAATATATTTGTAAATTCTATAAGACAAACTCCAGTTAACCAAGAGCAAAGGTCCTGCGGACCGCTCTGACAGACAATGACGAATAGAAAAAAAAAAACTCCAAATCAAAACTATTTCTTTTTTTAAGTTGATCCAAATGATCCCAGTCAGTAGCCAGGCTTCTGGAAAATCCTGAGGAATATCAGAGATGCAGCGGTTACTCATTTGAGAAATGTAATATTTGAAGATCGTACCTGTTTGTATCTCGACATCACTTTTTGAACAGTGGAGCGCTACGAGATGTCCAACAGCTGCCGTTGTCAACCCTTGTGGTCCTGAGAACTATCAGAAGCTCGAATATTACTTCTAATCTAACCAAAAGGCACAGCTCTGAAGGATTTTTGCAGACCATAACATTTGTAAGTTTTTATACGACTGGATAACCAGTGATGATTTGTACTGCTTTTTGTCCAAATTAGTTTCCATACTTCAATTTTAAATCAGCTATTTTCAGAGCAGCAGGGTTGATATGCAAAGGTCACTATAGTTGCAATGAAATCGAAGCCACATGTTGTTATCGAACAATAACATGGGTGCCCACAGGGTGGTGTCAGAGGAGCCATGGTCTCTTCTGGGAATCTGCTTTGACTTTAATGTTAGCATATTTAGGGCCGATTTCACCAACATTAATATTATGGACCAATGGGAAAATACCTTATCGAAATGCAATTTGACGGAAGCTCTCTGAATATCAGTGATTTCTATTGAAATATTGAATAAAATCGTGAAAATTCGACTGTAATATAAACAAGACCACTTTTTGATTCCAACATGATGCTTTTGTACAGAAGAAACAGGACAACTTTCATGTATTTTGATATATGTTATAGGTTCACATTTAACAATCCGTTATCCCCCTCAGCGAATGGGAATGCGGCAAATAATAGCTCGATTTTCCAGCTGTTAAATTTGGCAGCAGATTTGGACGTTTGTTAATGCATGGCACTCTAGAATTTACCAACTTCAATATACTGAAAGTTATCATTACATATCTGTTGAATAGTGTGGATTTGTCTGTATTTTGCAAGAAAATAGAATATAAAATACATTCCATCCAATTCCTCATCTTCCTTTACGTTATAATAGGAATCATTTATTAATTTATGGGATAATGAATTTCTTCAAAGCAATAAAAACATTATGTCCTCTCCATCCTCAAACACAGATAACATGTGTAAGATATGTCAATCCCTACGTCTCTCTGATGCATAATGCAATTACTATGGACATAGGCAAACAATTATGAAAAATGTTTCACAGATAATGGCCTTTAAGTTCAAAAATCAAAAAACTAGTAATGTTTACTGTTTGTCTATTTTTTTTTGACTGGCGGGGATATCTATCTGACACTCGCAGGGTTGCCAAGTCTAACGACGATCACGTCCTGTGGTGGAGGGTGCGAAATGAATATTTTACATTTGCTGGTTTTGAAATTTTTTCGTGAAAATTTACTAGGTATCATGATTATAAGCATCTTTGGTAGATTGTTCGATCCGGAATGGGAAAGATCTCCTATTTATGAAAATATTTTTGGTATCATCTAATCGTTACAATCAGTGCACAAACACTGTGACATTTGATTTATAGCATAACCCGCTGCCCTATCAATACAAATTTAACATACAGGTCGCCTAGCCATGGGGATGCAGTGGTCAGGATAAATATCACGACAGCAACTGATGATTTGGGCATGTCTGGTAACAACGTATGAAGTGAAACTCGCTAACTTCACAAATTTGAAGATTTTGTACAATTTCTTTGAAAATGATGAAAGATGTGTCTGATTTGGCAGGGTAATGTCGCAGCCAAATGGCAGTCACTCTTTCTGACACAGTCCGGATCGAAAGATGACGATACTCGTGAAATGTATTGATACTTCTAAATATAGGATCCTATCGAACATCCCTACTGTCAAGAGTCAAGATGTATAACCCTAGGTACCGACGGAGCTATTTTGCGGCGTCATGGAAATAATTTTAAATTTTCATTTGCATTTTTTCAAGTGTTGTGCAATGATTTTGGGAAAAATGTCACGAATAGTCTTATAAAGCATAGTAGAGTATATTTCAACAGTTGGCGGAACTTACTCCACTGGGACCAGGAGGGTGAAACGGGATATTAATGCACAATCTGGCAACCCTGTCGCACCCTCACAAAATGGCCGTTGACAACCACACAAGTCACCGTGTTGTGATCGAATAGCATCGAATTAAACCTTCAGAGTATGTTTTGTGACTGGTACCAAGAGTTGACACAGCCCACACATGTGTCACTCCTTGAAATGCAATAATCAGCTGTATTCAAATAACGTCGAATATAAATATAACCCAGAATATCTACTCAGTAAAAAAAGAAAAATATTGCAAATTTCTAGTTTTTCTGCAGGTTTTAGGTTTGGTGGTAGCTCTACGACATATATTTGGGTATTTCTTAATCGCTGTGAATATAGTGTGGATGTTTGTTAAGTTCCTGAACAACGAAAAATATTCAACTTTATGGATGTATGGATATTAAAAAACTAGAATGGTTTTGTGGGAATATCAATCTAAGGTGCCATAATGGTTCTGATGAACGGCAAGTAAATGAATGAATGTTTGGAAACGAGCAATATCTATGAACTTTTTGGTAGAGTCAGTCATCAAGTAGGTGCTTAATGGCTATTTGCAACAAGTTTATAGGAAAAAACACCCAGTAGACGATCTTGAATCAGTAAAATCGCATATCAATTGAAGAAAATAATATTATCGTGAATAAAAAATCAACAATGGTAATTAAAACATGAATTTTATTCAAGAATCAAACATTTGTTTAAACTTTGACTGAATTATATGTAATTTCTTAATATTCAATAAGCTGGATGTTTCAATGACAAGATGTCATCTCATACTTTGACAATATTTTGTTTTCAACATTACATAGCTATTGGTTGATTGGAACTTGAAGCTCATTCGCTGTATTTAACGGGCTGTTACCCTATAGGTGGAGAAAAACGGACTGTTGTTGGTGAAATTGGCCCTTAGCATGCTTTTGTGTACAACTTTGAGAATTTTTTAGGATTTGTCCCCTCCTGAGAAAATTGCTTCCTCTCCTCATCAAAAAATTTTGGGTCAGGTACAGTTTTACAAAAAGTTATTTCTTGATGATGATCAAGACCTCTGAGAAAAATTCCTGTGGATAATAAAAAAAGAAATCTGAAATTGTAGTTTCATATAACACAATTCAATTGTTTCCTAATTTTTCATTTATGCAGGTGCCAACAAAGGCTGGGGAATGAAAACGTCTGGACCATAATGATGTTAATACTGATTTTTTTGTAGAAAAATGTGTCATATTTATATAATGAATATATTTTTAGGTATTTGCAATATATATTGTATGTTTTTCTTTTGAACCTTTCCAGATTAGTAAGTAGAGTAATCTTATAACAGCTTGTGTTATTGACGTTCCTATTTTAACATACAAAAAAGCACTTATTCGTCAAGATAGCGCAAAATTTCAATAGCACGTGCTATTATAAGATCTATATCTCACCAAATTTCTAAATATAAAAGTATAGATATATCAGATTTATATGTAGAGCTGGCAACGTTGCGGGATATTAAACCACAATCTGGCAGCCATGTCCCACCCTCAAAAAATGGCCGCTGACAACCACACAAGTCACCGTGTTGCCATTGAATAGCATGGAATTAAACCTTCTTCAGTGTATATGTTTTGTGGTTAGTAGCATCATGTCTAAGCAACAGGTGCACGCGTCTGTTGCGCAACGCCCTATCATAGAAGTTTTCTCGCAGGAGATAAGACACTTTCAAGGAAACAAGTATACGACTCGCAAAAAAACTTTCCGATGGCCGAGAGGCAGTGGCAAAGGAGAGCCATGAGCGCCGACCCAGGACAAGCATCAGTCAGGCGAATATTCGTGCAGTCTGTGAACTAATTGAAGATAACAGAAGAACTAGAGTATCTGACATTGCCGCACATGTCGGAATATCGACGGGAGTGTTCATTTGATCATTTCAGATGATCTGGATTACCGGAACGTGTGTGCAAGATGAGTTCCTCACCTTTTGAGGGAAAATCAGAAAGCAAACCGCCTTAACGTGTGTGGAAGGCTTTTGGCACAATATCGAGCAGACGGCGCTGATTGGTTGAGACATATTGTCACCTGTGATGAGACGTGGGTCCATTATTAGACTCCTGAGTGGAATCGAGCAAGCATGGAGTGGCTAAAGCCCGGAGAGGCCGGACCGCGAAAAGCCAAGACCAGTCTTTCTGCAGGAAAAGTTCCTGCAACGGTATTTCGAGATTTCAGAGGTGTATGGCTGGTTGATTTTTTTCACGATCGCCGACTAGTTTGGTAAAGAAGTGAGACTGGTCTATCGGCAAAAAAGGCGAGACATGCGTATTCGAAGTGCCATTCTGCTCCATGACAATGCAGCTGCATTGACCCAAGAAAAATTACGAGAAATTCATTGGGAAACACTTGAATACCTGCCTTACAGTCCCGATTTGTCGCTATGTGACTATCACATGTCTGGGCTACTTAAAGAAGACCTGGACGGTCACCACTTTGACGACGACGACGACTGACACTACAAGCTTCATTCTTTGATGAGGAAATTGAAGAACTTCCGATCCGGTGGGAAAAATGCATTAATAAGAGAGGAGATTATGTAGAAAAATAAGATGTATATAAACTTGTATTTACTATACCAATAAAATTACTAAAACAAAAGTCCGGTTCATATTTGATTCACCCCCGTATCAACAGGGTGTCCAAGATAATGATCCTATGCCTGGGGATCTCAATAACTTTGGGCTTAGATTAAATTAGAAGAAAGCTGCGATCTTTGGGGCGTATTTTGATAAAATTTGGCACAATCGTTTTTATTTTTTCTGACTTTATTTTGTGTAATATCAAAAAATTAACGGAACTTCTTTATTGACACTTTTTCGACGCTACATGGTGATGTTTTCAAATTTTGTGCCCGACGCGACGTTTCGTTTTTGAGAAACTATGATAGCATCTTTTTCGGCGAATTCAACGATGTATTACATGTTACATTTGTTTTCTTAGTTATAAATAAAAACGTGTGCAAAGAACTGTTTGATGTAAGATTATATGACTACTGATAGATTGGTATTACACATTACATAATGACATGATTGAATAAAATTTTATAAAACGTTGCTTAATCTAGTGATATTCAGAATAACAAATACATTCTCAGCATTATTGTTATTTTACAATTTATTCACAATAGGTGTCCAAATAAATATGATCTTCCAACAGCTGAATTCAAAGCGTCACGTAGCATTTCTGGCTTAATCATACTAAATGTTTCTATTACTCATTCTCGTTCCAAAAGTATGCTATTAAATTAAAGACCCGAAACAAAAAATTCCATATGAGTTAAATCCGCTGAACGCGTTGGCCAGATCACTTCACTAGTGGTTTCAAGCCACCTTGCAGGAAGACGCTGAAAAAGATATTAATTATAGTAATTTTAGCATTTTTGTAGCATAAAATTCAGGACCTCAGACAGTCGAACTTTTCTTCATTGCTAAAATGACCGCCTGGGATCTTTGACGATAATAAAGTAATATTAATAGTTAGTACACAATAATAACAATACTCGGTGAGAGGAATTTGCGTCAAGACAAGCATTTGTTTGCAACGCCTACTTAAAACAAATCAGAACAAACGTATTGTTCCTTATGACCAAGAAAATAAATGTAACATGTGATACTCGTATAAAAAAATGCTATAAGATACAATGAGTAACTCTTTTGCCATATAAAAAAATAAAGTTGAAGATGCTTTCTCAAAAATTTAAGAACACCATCATGTAGTGCCTAAAAAGTGCCAATAGGAAATTTTCATTAGTTTTCTGAAATCCCTTAAGATAAAGTCAGAAAAAATAAAAATGAATTGGACAAATTTTAGATTTTCCCAAATATATCAGTAAGCTATGAAATTTTTACAAGTCGCTCAACGGCATGTAAATACTCTGCAAAGCAAGCAACTTTTTCCTAATATAACCTACATACGCTGTATCTCCCACAGGTGTTCAGATCTCCATGCATATGGTCCTTATCTTGGACACCCTGTATAGCAGATTGATCTTCTCGGTTTCATATCATAATGATTATCATGTATATCATGAGGTTTTCATATATTGGTGTGGAGAATATCGCTTCAGGCAAATATCTATTCCTGTTTACCTTACCAAGTGCGTCTATCGCAAATATTGGGACAACTATCTAAACATCAAATTGAACTTAATGCTATATTATTAATTCAAACTAATTGGCACTCACGATTAAATTAACTCAATCAGAATAATGCAGCATGGCTTGTTTGGGATTAAATTGCTTTGAATTATACATATATGGGATACCCCGTAAGTTTTCAAGTCTACAATCTGACAGTTAAAAAATTTAGACAAATAGCCTGACTTATACAGGGTGTTCCTTAATGATATGCGAGTACTTAAGGGTGTGAATGTACATGAAAAATTAATGTTAGTTTGCTTTATAAACCATGGCCCAAAAATGTTTCCTTACAAAAACTCGGGGTGTTGAAGTTTTAGAAAAAAATGGAAATTAATTAATATTTTCAGTACCGCTCCAGATATTTCACTGATATTTGGTAAGTAGTGAAAGGTAATAAAGCTGCATATTTTTCAATGCATAAATAAGTTTTAGCTGTAACAGTGGCGTGCGTACGGGTATTGACTTTGATATTTTTTAAGAAAAAAATCATACGCCAATAATATTTTGCCAAATAAAAAATAATTTTGAATTCCGCGTTTGATTTAAAATAAATGATCTCTCTTGAATTGTTTTCCTTCGATCAGCCATTTTCGAGTAAAAAAATAAAAACCGTTCTATTGTCTAACTTGCAAAATTATAATTAATTTAATTGGAAATATTAAACACATTAGGGGTAATGAACAACAGCAATTGACAACATAAAAAGAACATTAAAACCAACGAAATGATTACAAAAAATGTTGGCAATGCCCCCCCTTCACTGAGTATGCATGCTTCCGCCCTCCTTCTTATTCGTTGAAATATCCCTGGAGTGTTTTTTATTCTCATGCTGCAACTATTCTTTCTCTTAAGTGCTCTATAGTGTTCATGGGACTCGTGTACACTAGTGTCTTAAGATAGCCCCACAAAAAGAAATCTAAACAGTTGAGGTCTGGGGACCTTAGTGGCCATTCTTGGGGCCCACCGCGGCCAATCCAACGATTTGGATAAACAGTTTGTAAATAATTACGAACCGCTACACTGGAATGCGCTGGTGCACCATCATGCATGTACCATATATTGTTTCTTATTACTAACGGACCATCATTAAGCAGCAAAGGCAACTGTTGTTGAAGAAAATCGAGGTAAGTCTGTCCGTGAAGTCGTCCCGGCAAGAAGAATGGGCCAACAAAGTGCCAATAATTCCTGCCCATACGTTAACCGAAAATTGGTGTTGGAAATGGGTTTCGGTTACGGCATATGGATTTTCTTCTGCCCACAAATGATTATTGTGGAAATTCTGAATGGCATTTCGAAAAACATTAGGTTCGTCCGTGAACAGAATCACTGATTTTGTGTCATTTTTTGAAGGTACCACTGGCAAAAGGTCACACGCCTTGGAAAATCAATGGGAAATAATGCATGAACTCATAAAATGTGGTAAGGATATAACAAAAAATCCACTAAAATTCTCCAAACAATTTGATGGTAAATATTTAAGTGCTTCCTCAATTTCAGGTGTTCTCACACTTAGAGGTCTAACTTCAGATGTTCGTTTTCGGACAGAACCAGTTTCAACAAGGCGACGATGAATATTAGAAAAGGTTCGACTATCTGGCAAAGCACGATCGGGGTATCTCTGGTAATAAATCCGCCTGGCTTGCTCACCATTACCGTCGGCAAGGCCATATACGTAATGCATTTCCGCCATTTCTGCATATGGATAATTCACCATTATTAACAAGATAGTAAAAACTAAATAATGAAAAAGATGTCACAGTGAACGGATTTGAATAACAGAGTCTTGTCAGATGTCAGAAGCCTGTGACATATTCCAGAGCAACTAGATATTTATTGCTAAATTGCATTCTTCAATTATTACATTAATTTTCTCGGATAATAGAACGGTTTTTATTTTTTTACTCAAAAATGACGTATCGAAGAAAAACAGTTCAAGAGAGATCATTTGTTTTAAATTGAACGAGGAATTCGAAACGCAAAAAACCATTGGCGTACTATTTTTTTCTTGAAAAATATCGAAAACAGTACCCGTACGCATGCCACTGTTAAAGCTAAAAATTATTTTTGCATTGAAAAATATGCAACTTCATTATCTTTCACTACGTACTAAATATCAGTGAAATATCTGAAGCGGTTCTGAAAATATTAATTAATTTCCATTTTTTTCCTAAAACTTCAACACCCCGAGTTTTTGTAAGGAAACATTTTTGGACATAGTTTATAAAGCAAACTGACATTAATATTTCATGTAAATTCAAACCCTTAAATATTCACATATCATTAAGGAACACCCTGTATATAGCACTTTCATAACAGACTGGCTGTAATAATCCGAAGAGCACGGCTCTGTGTTTTCAGGATGAGGTAATTTTGAAAAAGATCCAGATCAAGTCTTTACTAACTATGAACAAGGAGCTCGACGAAGACTTTGCATTTGACCTTGCGCCTCAAATTCAAGGTTGTTCCAAGGTCAAACTTGATTTTCAAGAAAGCCCATTAAAATCCTTGTTAAAAGTTACTTAATAAGAGTTTTTCCATCAATAACTCGGGTGAACTTCTAGGAATTCTTCCTAGCGTCACATTTGACCTCAACTTGACCTTTAGAGGTAACCTTGATCTTAGATATTAATATTTTATATATTTCTGTAAACATTTTAACCTTTAATGTACCTTGACCGTCAAATTATCAGTCCTCATTTATAGAGAGTGGAGCCTAAAAACCTAACGCTATTATCCGCCAATACTCCGTTTCGTACATAAAAGAAACGTCAATATATACGTCACCTAATAGGAATTACATGTCCTTACTAACGAAATTAAAGTGGAAAAGAATGTTTGCTACAGACAGTGCTGCAATATCAGCGTCTCCCCTGCAGCTACA